ATATATAAAAAATTTAGATGTGACAAATCGGTTGACTGATATAACTACCTAAAACCTAACCTAATCCAATGTAAGATGACCTAGCCCTAAAGTTAATTCAAAAAAATATATATTATAAGAACCTGCTCCACTTTAGACATCTTCTATAGATGAAAATACAGCATGTACTTAAGGAAAACTTCTTTTCTTACTAACTTAATCACCCTTCTGTATTAAGTAAAAGTTGTAGAACTCGTTAAGATGCACCTAACAGTGATTAGATCATCCAAATCGATCCAGTAGATGCCGAGATATATTCGAAAAACGTTTCGCCAACTAAATAAAATTCTATGTAAACAATAGTATTGTTTACATATAGTTTTCGAAGATATCTCGGCATCTACTAAACCAATTTGGATGATCTAACCACCGTTAGGTACGTCTTAACGAGCTCTACAACTTTCTCTTAATATAGAAGGGCGATTAACTTAGTAAGAAAAAAAGTTTTCACATGACTCACAGATCATCAATTAACTGTAAACTTGTTCGGCATAAAATTTTACATGTATCTAGCGCATTTTCAGATCTTTTATAAATTTTAATTAATTTTATGTAAAAAAAAATTTTTACAAAAGGTTAATCCAATTTTTCACTTAGTAAAAGGTCAAAAAACGCATTTTGACGGATGCATGGCATGTAAAATTTTACGTACACGAACAAGTTTACTTAAAAGTTACATATAGAAAAGCTGGAAAATTTAAATTTTGTAACTTATTTCAGAGCATAGATTTATATAAATATTCGTTTTTGATGAATTTAGGCAGAAACATGTCTTGGCAGGAAAGATTTCGTTACGTATTCTGCTTTTCTTGATCTATCTAATCGTAAAACTTAATTTCAAGTTATATAGATGTCGTAGGTGGGAATAGAATTTGAGTTGATTCGGAATTTTTAAGGTTAGGGTTGGGATTTTTAGTATAATTTATTCCGTTCTAATTTAAGTGGATTCCGAACCCTATTATGGTTCCATTCCCACCTACAATACGTATCAAAGCTTAAATATAAATTTACTACTGTATATATATAAGTAATGTGACAAATCGGGTGACTAAAAAAATTGGCCTGTACTATACGTACTGTACTTACGTACATACGAATTGGCTCACCTATACCATACTGATCTGCGTAATTTAGAATATTTTCGACATACAGAAATATTTTCGGCATACTAAAATATTTTCGACATACTAAATTATTTACGATTTGGCTGTCAAAAATCATTTTTGCCATTTAAATTTACGCCAAGAGCAAAATATTTTCGACACCCATGAATACGTCAACGTCTTTTAACCTACCATCGGTTGAAAATCGGACAGATTCTATTGAACAACCTTTAAATCATGAAGAGAATCGGACAGATTCTATTGAACAACCTTTAAATCATGAAGAGTTTCGTGACAACATAACAAAAGAACAACCAACGTCTCACAGTTTTACTCAAATAATTGAAGAGAATGTTGTACCTCATGATCAAAGCGAAGAGCAACTTAATAAAGGCTCTCAAGAGGATGATAAATTAACTAACTACAAACAGGAATCAACTGGTGAAACAAACCATGATTCTGTCCAAGAAGAAATAGTTACTGTTCTCGGTGAAGGAGTAGTTAATACTCCACCGAGTTTGTGTGTGATAGAGATAGATATGCCAAAAAATCAGACAAAAATGCCTTCATCCATCTCTGACAATAATACTATACAGAACCAGGTTTCGCTTGAACAATCTGTCGAACCAGATTGTCAATCTCCAACGCCAGAGTTATCTAATATTCCGCAACCATCCCTTGAGCAATCATTACCTAAAATTGGATTAATTAATCAAAGTGAAAATAACAATATGGATACAGATGATATTCTCGTTTCCCAAATTGATCAAGATTCAATTTCCAAATCTTTTCGCACAAAAGCAGCAGATCTTTTTGACGTCCCAAATAATGTTGTTACTACGGGTGATACGTCACATTGTGAATTTGGCCCAAGTTCAAATCCTAATACTACTGAAAACGCACCTTCATGGGATAATTCTGTTAATAATTCTACAGAATATAATTATGGCAAAGAACCTCGTAGATGGCGAGGCCGTCGTTCCCCGAGTTCTCAAGCTGATAATGAAAAATCTGACCATAAAATTCCATTTAATCTGCCTAAATTAACCGATGCAGATTTTCAGGCCTTGCCATCTGGATCACGTTTATTTTTAGGAAATTTGTCTACGCATTCCACTTCAAAAAAAGAACTTTACGACATTTTTTTCCCCTCATGGGGAAATCTTGCAAATATCTATAAAAAATAGTTTTGGTTTTGTTCAATATAATAACCCAGAAAGTGTTAAAAAAGCTATTGAGAAGGAAAACGGTAGAGTTTTGCATGGATTGAAGTTAGGCAAGTATTTTGATCGGTACTTGGAAAAATGCAAATGGCTAGCCTTATAATTTACTTGTACGTGAACGATTAGGTTTGGAAGTCTCCCATGGTAAGCCATGGCATCATATACCACCGAATGAGGATGGGTCCAAACCTTCGTTTGCCAACCGGCAAGAAAAACATTGGAATCAAAGAGGATGTAAGGAAGATTGGTACCAGAATGATCGTGATTATCCTCCGGGGCGAGGGCATCAAGGTCAATCTTATCCAGATCGTCGATATGATGATTACGATCGTCGGAATACTGATTATAAGTTTGACCGTCGTGCTTCATATGATTCAAGAGGTGGCTACGAATATTCTGATCAGAGAGATTATCGTTCTCCACAAGAATATCGTGGTGATTATAAAGATGAACATGAATATCGACCTCGGGACGATAGAGGATACCGTCGTAGTTCATATCGTGATGAGCATCGCGATGAAAGATATGCACAACGTTCGAAGCCCTACAGAATTCCCTCTAGGGATTATATGGAACGAAGACAAAGTCGTGACCATCCTTATCGATCCCAATCTCATGATGAACCTGATGATGAGTTTCCCTTACCTCGGCGCCAAGGAAATGATGTCCCTGAATGTCAAATAATCGTACTTGAAGAAGTGGAACGGTGTGTCTTTTGTCTGTAACTTATTCAGTACGACGCGGTTTTTTTCAATGGCAGTCTCCAGAAGAAACTTCAATTAAAATGTACTATCCCATTTTTACAAAATAGTAATTTTCTTTGGCAAGTAGAAAGTTCTTTCCGCGAAGCAAATATCACTGTTCATACCCTTCATTTATCTCGAAAACTTCATATTCAAGCTGTTATTCGCCAAATGATTGTTGAAGGAGTTCATGCGGTTGTTTTTATGGAACGGCACAATGCGATAAACGGTCGTGTAAATATGCAAATATTCGATCAATCTCGAGTAAGAGATAATGTCAAATATGATGGTCAGTATTCATTAAAGATGTTCTTGCAATATTTTGTTGCAATTATTGTTATTAAATGTATATCAAACCATTTTATATCGTTAAGAATACAATAATATTAAAGTTGACGAAGCAGTTAACCTTTTATTGAGAACTCGTATTCTGCAACGGCAGGGCGATCTTAGACCGCCAGATAACCTATTGCTTAGTGGTCAACCAAATTTATCACAATCACAACAAGGACAGCCAGGTCCAGCTGGACTTCATCCAATATCTTTAAGTAACGTTAATTTTGCCGCACTCGCAAATCTTCTTGGGACTCTTCAACAACAACAACCCCCCACTAATCCTAACCAGGGGATTCAACCAATGCCGATGATTCCATTAGGAAGTATTCAACCTTCTCATCCAGGTCTGTTGAATCAACAACAGCCTCAAAACATCGATGTTCAACAGTTACTTAGACAACTTGCACCCCAAAACACCGGGCTTCCAAACCAACCTCCTTTTATGCCTGTGCCCCCACATATGGCACCTAACCTTGGCCCACCACCTTCACCCTATAATGCCCCGATGGTGGGCCAACCTCCCAGTATCGTTCCTCCTAATCCCATTACACCTAATGGGTTGTCCCTAACTCAGCATCAATCTCAACATATTAATCCCAATGTACCACAATTTTCAACTACAATTTCTACTGCTTCTAATGTGACAGACTTAATGGCACAGTTCAAGCAATATAGCAATCAGCGCTAAATAGAATAGGTATTAGCTATTTCATATGTCCATTATTACCAACATTCAGTGGTCTACTATATTTGCATGTCTATTATCTGTTTCAACGATATCTTTTACATTGAGAAAACGCATCTTTTTATAGATTATATGGATACTTCGAAGGATTTGTCGACATTCGAGTTATATTTAAAAGCAATTGTTTACATCGGTTTCCTGTCCCTTTACATATCCTTTTGCTACCTACAATCCGTATATAAGGAATATATATCGTTTTTTCTATGCCTCTCAATATTGAATAAAATGTACAGTCAGTAACGTCTCCAAAACGAGTTACCTGTTATCATGTTTACTTGTCACAAAATCCAGAAAAGTTATACGTGCTTTAAATGCTAATCAATTATTATTAATAAATGTTTAGCATCAAGTCTGCTTATACAAAGCATTATATTTTTACTAATTGTTTCTAGAAATGGGCCCAATGTTGCTACGATATTTTTTTTTTACATATATGTATATAATTTAAATACTCGAATAAAACCTAGATAATCATTTAATGAATAAAACAAATTTTGTTCGAATAAGCAGACTTATTAGAATAATGCCTATTATTCGTTGTGAAACTTCAATTATCGTTATTGTTCGAATAGATCTAATTATTAGAGTATTGTTAGAAATTGTAAGCATTAATGATAATATTTGGACTTTTCTCTTAATTAGTTGTGAAATTAAAAAGGTAAATATATTTGTGAGGCACAAAATGTTATTTATTAGATTAATAAATGGTTTAAAATATTATTTATTGGCCAAATAAACATATTCAAATTTTATAAAATGAATTTTAACCAAATATAATTTGGATCTCGATACATCGAATTTTTTTGGAATTTATTTAAGATAAAATATACCACAATATATTTTTTAATTACTATTACATACAGTAGAGTTGGCAATTGGATAAATTGGATATATAA